CCTTCATTATAAAAGTTACCTACAAGTAGATGGTGTTTAATACTTACTGAACACGTTTAGCTCGACTTCGTCTGAATACTCTTTGGGTAGTGTTTGTTCATCCACCAAGATCTTATAAACATAGACTGCATTCTCGTTCATAACATCTACGGTAGAACCGTCTCTATTTAGGCCTTGATTCGTAATGTCCTTGATAACAAAACTTGCATATCCATCTATCGAGTTTACAACGGTCATGCTGTATTTGCCCTGATCTACATTGTTATTCGCATCTGAATAGTACGCAACAATTAGCATATCTGTATTCGCAGGGTTGCCCTTGCGATATCTCCTGATTTTGATAGGAGCTATTACTTCTCCTGATGCCAGTTTCCACTCCCATCTTAGTTCAACATTCGTCCTGTTTCTATAATACACAACCAGTGGTTTATCGGGATATTTTGTGAATTCAAAAGAAGCTGAGATAGAACAACAAACATCAATTAGACGAAATTTATTATCAGTATATTTAAACAATTACCGTACTTCAGATAAAGCACTATTATTCACCCAAAGCATCTTTTTCTCGCATAAACCAATAAAATGCCTGCAAGAGATTATTTTCTTGCACGCATTTTTAGAGTAATGCTCATTTAGAATTAAAAGTTGCCTTGCTATTCTATCCATCACTATATATTTTCAAGTGCTACTGGCTCGTTTCGTATTTACTAAGCTCTAATTCAGTTTCTTTTTATAACTGCTTTATTATTATATTTATTACAAGAAAATTTTGTTGAATCGCGCGTTTTTGATTTCAGACCAAATTTGCACTCCACCCAATTACCAATTTACCATCATAAATTTGAACCTGTTGTTAGTAAATCTGATACTTTTGGTTATTTTCTATAATTTCTAATTTCCAGCTAGTTCATCTACACGAAGCTTAAAGCAACGGATTAACCAGGCTAATATTGTTAAATTACATAAAAAAGAGAGAGCAATACTCTCGGTAGTATATCTTGTTGCTGTTCTTTATGCAATTTATCGAGCTCCAACCAAGTCTTCAAATTCCTATAGTTGAACTGAATTGAAGTATTAGTGCGGAACTAAACTACAAAGAAGGCGAATCGCTGTTCTTAGATATGCCTAGGATGATTGCGATACTTTAATTAAAGTTCGTTTCACAAACATGTTTCAACGTGTGCGTCACGTCATTTTCGGGCAGTGTTACGAGCGGTGTTCTAACCGTTTGTTTTCCTGCTGGCAGAGCCTATTTTCCTTTTGTTTTGGTGGAGTGAGGAAAATAGACTCTACCGATGTTGGACGTTATACTTGTTGCGCCTGCGTGGCGTAACTTAGAAACGCTGTCATGATTTTGACAGCCGCTCTCGTCAAACAACGTTTGGCGTCACGGTGTGTTACATTTGCTTATGCGCACTACATGTTCTAAAACTGGTTTCGTTTGCCCACGATCGTGGACGGCGGTGTATCAAAGGAAACTTTCTATATCGGTCTTTTGGTAATTCATGTGTTTAATGATATACAAGTGTAATGGAATGTTCAGCATGTAAAGTTTTAAAAACAAAATCGCTTCATAACAAAA